AAACACAGTGAAATATATTTTTTTTCGTTAGGTTCAGAATGATTTTGGCGAAATTATTGCATACACAAATTTTCACTTGTCCTATATGGCAAGATGAGCGTTGCTATTTAAGCCAAGATCACAAGTTCTGCCTATTCGGCACGACATATATATATATATATATATATATATATATATATATATATATTTGATAATAACAGTGTAACTTGTGGATTTAAAAGTGTTTCTAATAATCGCTTAAAAAAAAACAACTATATATCATACATTGTACAAATTCATACACCTGAGACGTAAAGAACATTTAATGGCAGTATTCATTGCAACACCTGCCTGGAAGCTCCTAAAATCCATGAAGCGCTGGCGAGAAAGATGTATCATAGTTTACACCTGGAAAATCTTGGAGGGTCCTACCTGGTTCTTAATCAGCTCACTGAGATCCTGTGATCCCTTGTAGCTGGAGTTATGACAGGCGGTGCTAAATATCCTCAGTGAACTCCAAGGATGCAATAAGTACATCATACCTCGATAAGCAAAAGGAGTATTTCCACACCCTCCATTAAACACTTGTATAAAAGTTGTTTCTTCAAACTTCTTCAATCAGTCGTGTCATGGTGCAGGTTGTAAGCACGAGCAGGCTGGCTGATCAGGCCTTTCAACCTGACTTAGTCACAGATATGGTTGCAAGAGGCTGTGGTCCCAGGTTGTACTTTATTTTAGTAATTAAAATGAGCGTAAGTCAGAATTATACACATTCTTTAACATGAGAAACTTGTCTATATTTTATGATAAAAATCCACCTGAATTTTTCCTTTGCTAAAACCTAAGAAGTACATGGAATTTGTCACTGCTGACTATGTACGAGAGAGCACTACTTTTCTGGCGCCTACTTGTAAGGCCTATTAATCTCAGATTTCAGTTTCAGTGTATAAATAATGAAATCCAAAGAAAATACCTTAAATTACCATACTCTAATACCACTTTTTTCAGAAACTGAAAAATTGTAATTCTGACGCCGCCATCTTTAAATCTGCGATGATGATTAACATTATATGTATTATCTAACTTAGGTGACAAGAGTGTTGCTTTCTGCACCTCCTGGTGACTCACCAACATTAAAATGAACTGATATTGCCACTGTTTTCATGTTATCTGTTGTTTGTTCACTCTCCTGGACCTTTGATGTTATCTGTTGTTTGTTCACTCTCCTGGACCTTTGATGTTATCTGTTGTTTGTTCACTCTCCTGGACCTTTGATGTTATCTGTTGTTTGTTCACTCTCCTGGACCTTTGATGTTATCTGTTGTTTGTTCACTCTCCTGGACCTTTGATGTTATCTGTTGTTTGTTCACTCTCCTGGACCTTTGATGTTATCTGTTGTTTGTTCACTCTCCTGGACCTTTGATGTTATCTGTTGTTTGTTCACTCTCCCTGGACCTTTGATGTTATCTGTTGTTTGTTCACTCTCCTGGACCTTTGATGTTATCTGTTGTTTGTTCACTCTCCTGGACCTTTGATGTTATCTGTTTGTTTGTTCACTCTCCTGGACCTTTGATGTTATCTGTTGTTTGTTCACTCTCCTGGACCTTTGATGTTATCTGTTGTTTGTTCACTCTCCTGGACCTTTGATGTTATCTGTTGTTTTTCACTCTCCTGGACCTTTGATGTTATCTGTTGTTTGTTCACTCTCCTGGACCTTTGATGTTATCTGTTGTTTGTTCACTCTCCTGGACCTTTGATGTTATCTGTTGTTTGTTCACTCTCCTGGACCTTTGATGTTATCTGTTGTTTGTTCACTCTCCTGGACCTTTGATGTTATCTGTTGTTTGTTCACTCTCCTGGACCTTTGATGTTATCTGTTGTTTGTTCACTCTCCTGGACCTTTGATGTTATCTGTTGTTTGTTCACTCTCCTGGACCTTTGATGTTATCTGTTGTTTGTTCACTCTCCTGGACCTTTGATGTTATCTGTTGTTTGTTCACTCTCCTGGACCTTTGATGTTATCTGTTGTTTGTTCACTCTCCTGGACCTTGATGTTATCTGTTTGTTTGTTCACTCTCCTGGACCTTTGATGTTATCTGTTGTTTGTTCACTCTCCTGGACCTTTGATGTTATCTGTTGTTTGTTCACTCTCCTGGACCTTTGATGTTATCTGTTGTTTGTTCACTCTCCTGGACCTTTGATGTTATCTGTTGTTTGTTCACTCTCCTGGACCTTTGATGTTATCTGTTGTTTGTTCACTCTCCTGGACCTTTGATGTTATCTGTTGTTTGTTCACTCTCCTGGACCTTTGATGTTATCTGTTGTTTGTTCACTCTCCTGGACCTTTGATGTTATCTGTTGTTTGTTCACTCTCCTGGACCTTTGATGTTATCTTGTTTATTCACTCTCCTGGACCTTTGATGTTATCTTGTTTATTCACTCTCCTGGACCTTTGATGTTATCTTGTTTATTCACTCTCCTGGACCTTTGATGTTATCTTGTTTATTCACTCTCCTGGACCTTTGATGTTATCTTGTTTATTCACTCTCCTGGACCTTTGATGTTATCTTGTTTATTCACTCTCCTGGACCTTTGGGAAATTTTAGGAACGTTTTAATTCTAGCAATTTAATATCTTTTTTATAAGTAATACATTTTTTACTTTAGTGTAATGATGTTTATTTATGTTCAAGTTACTGTGATTATTTTACTCTTTAAATGTTAATTTTAAATTTTTTGAGATGAACTTTGAGTGAACTTAAAGGTCCAAGTTCTTTGTAAATATTTTCTCCCGTCTTCCTTCATTGAAATACCCCCCCTCCCCCCTCCCCCCCCCCCGCATACCATCACACCTAGATTACATCACATTTTGCAATCAGTATTTGCTACCTAAGTACCACCATACACTATACCATGGTACATTATTACCAGGATACCACCATACACTATACCATGGTACATTATTACCAGGATACCACCATACACTGTACCATGGTACATTATTACCAGGATACCACCATACACTGTACCATGGTACATTATTACCAGGATACCACCATACACTATGCCATGATACATTACCAGGATACCACCATACACTATACCATGGTACATTATTATCAGGATACCACCATACACTATACCATGGTACATTATTACCAGGATACCACCATACACTGTACCATGGTACATTATTACCAGGATACCACCATACACTGTACCATGGTACATTATTACCAGGATACCACCATACACTGTACCATGGTACATTATTACCAGGATACCACCATACACTGTACCATGGTACATTACCAGGATACCACCATACACTGTACCATTGTACATTATTACCAGGATACCACCGTACACTGTACCATGGTACATTATTACCAGGATACCACCATACACTGTACCATGGTACATTATTACCAGGATACCACCATACACTATACCATCGTACATTATTATCAGGATACCACCATACACTATACCATGGTACATTATTACCAGGATACCACCATACACTATACCATGGTACATTATTACCAGGATACCACCATACACTGTACCATGGTACATTATTACCAGGATACCACCATACACTGTACCATGGTACATTATTACCAGGATACCACCATACACTGTACCATGGTGACATTATTACCAGGATACCACCATACACTGTACCATGGACATTATTACCAGGATACCACCGTACACTGTACCATGGTACATTATTACCAGGATACCACCATACACTGTACCATGGTACATTATTACCAGGATACCACCATACACTGTACCATGGTACATTACCAGGATACCACCATACACTGTACCATGGTACATTATTACCAGGATAACCACCAACACTGTACCATGGTACATTATTACCAGGATACCACCATACACTGTACCATGGCACATTATTACCAGATACCACCATACACTATACCATGGTACATTATTACCAGGATACCACCATACACTGTACCATGGTACATTATTACCAGGATACCACCATACACTATACCATGGTACATTATTACCAGGATACCACCATGCACTGTACCATGGTACATTATTACCAGGATACCACCATGCACTGTACCAATGGTACATTATTACCAGGATACCACCATGCACTGTACCATGGTACATTATTACCAGGATACCACCATACACTGTACCATGGTACATCTTTATTACATGGATAATAGTACATATCATGACCATTATATTTTGTTCAGATCATGTTAACCACAACATACACGATGTATGACTCGGTACCATACAGTAGGTACCATACAGTAGGTACCACACAGTAGGTACCACGAGGTACCTTCGTGTCTGTACTGTGTCACCAGGCACTGAGGGTCAGTCAAGGAAGATTCCTTGATGCTGGTGAGAGACTTTTGATCCAAGAAACTGGACTTGTCCTCCTCTTCCTTGGCTCTAACATCATTGCCTCCCATTACCCAGGTGCTGCATAACACCTACGAGTTTAGTGCTTTCCCTAGCAAAAGAAATTCCAGACTTCAAGGCAAAGGCATACAATGCCATAGTTATGAAAGAAAAGCAGTAAAATAAATTTGGATATGGAGATCACGACTGAACGTGGATACGTCGTCAGGGATTATTGATGAGTTCAATTCCAGATGATTGCAAATTGAGCTTCACGGAGATTGCAGCCTTCAAGGAATCTTTCTCCTTATTTCACCCCTCAAGGAAGGTTCCTTGATGTTGGTGAGGGGCTCTTGATTTAGGGAATTGGATCTGTGCTCCAGTTCCCCAAATTAAGCCTGAATGCCTTCCACATCCCCCCCCCCAGGCGCTGTATAATCCTCAGGGTTTAGCGTTTCCCCCTTGATTGTAATAATAATAATCTCCTTATTTCAATGTCTTGAGAAAGAACAATTTTTAACATTTGAATTTGTTGGTTAACATAAATTAGTCGAGTATAATCTGCAGTCAGATTATACAACATATAACTAATAGTGACTCTTTTTTTTTTATCCTCAGAAAAACTTCATCAAGACGTCGAAGTATACGTTAATAAACTTCATCCCATACAACTTGTTTGAGCAGTTCCAGCGTCTGGCCAACTTCTACTTCCTGTGTCTGCTGGTGCTGCAGCTTATACCAGTCATCTCGTCTCTCTCACCCATCACCACAGCTGTCCCTCTCATAGGGGTACTCACCGTCACCGCCGCTAAAGATGCCTACGACGACTTTGTAAGTACACTGCTGACGATATACATTGCCTGCAAAAAGTAATCGTCGACGCGGTACAAATACCCTTCGAACATTTTACATACAAAATATTAATGTAAGGAGAAATAAAGTAAAGAACCGAACACAGTAGTCTTGTTACTTGATGATGGATCATTCCATCTTTACCTATATTAACTTATTTAGAAAGAAAAGGAAACAATACCGTGATTGGAACAATACACAAGTAATTCGCCCTCTCATATATATATATATATATATATATATATATATATATATATATATATATATATATATATATATATATATATATATATATATATATATATTGTAACCACGAACCAGTGGTATCTCCCCCGTGCAGGTTATTCGTGTATTGCGTATATAGAATTCTTGAAGGCATACTAATGAGAGATATTTTTTAAATAAGCACTCTACCTCTTGATCCAACTCCCTTCTGCCACAGCCAAAACAATTAGCTTTTTCATCCATATTAGCTAAGCTTAAAGGGCCCAGTTACTATCACTGATAACCAGAATATAAACTGTCAAATAGTTCGGCAGGGAAGTGCACATCAGGGGGACAAGAGTGCACAAAAACACAACCACCTCCAACAAGAATGTTACTGAGGCTGACATACAGTCACCCTCAGTAACACTGCTCACATTATAACAGAAAACTACAAAACATATGAGATTCTTTAATGTCTTTTACAATGTTGGTTTGACGATTTTTTGTGTTGGCACTGCACTTGTGCTGGCACTGTGTTTCTTGTACTGGCACTGTTTCTAGTGCTGGCACTGTATTTCTTGTACTGGCACTGTTCTTGTGCTAGGACTGTTTCTTGTGCTTGCACTGTATTTCTTATACTGGCACTGTTGTTTTGTGCTAGGACTGTTTCTTGTGCTGGCTCTGTATTTCTTGTGCTGGCACTATTTCTTGTACTGGCACTGTATTTCTTGCATTGGCACTGTATTTTTTATGCTGACCTTGTACTTGTGCTGGCACTGTGCTTCTTGTGTTTGCACTGTACTTGTGTTGGCACTGTACTTCTTGGCACTGTACTTATTGGCACTGTACTTGTGTTGGCACTGTACTTGTGCTGGCACTGTACTTGTGCTGGCACTGTATTCTTGTGGTGACATTGTACATGTGTTGGCACTGTACTTGGCACTGTACTTGTTGGCACTGTACTTATGTTGACACTGTACTTGTGTTGGCACTGTACTTGTGTTGGCACTGTACTTGTGTTGGCACTGTACTTGTGTTGGCATTGTACTTGTGTTGGCATTGTACTTGTGTTGGCATTGTACTTATGTTGACACTGTACTTGTGTTGGCACTGTACTTGTGTTAGCATTGTACTTGTGTTGGCATTGTACTCGTGTTGGCACTGTACTTGTGCTGGCACTGTATTGGGAAAGCTGGGTCAAATATAGTATTTCTCACTTACATACTTGATATTATTTTGACTGAAATTTAGGAATACCGTATTTTCCTACATACAAGGTTCACTTTTTCTCCCACAAAAAGTCTTGGAAAATGACTGCACCTTATATGCTCAAGGTCAGGGTCAAGAGTGGGCTTTGGGTTACGCTTTGGCAGTTCTTTACTAACGTTACGAATGTTTGGAAACAGTGTTATATATCTCGTGCGCCTTATATGCCCGAAAATACGGTGTAACTTATTTTGACCTGTGTTACTCATTTCTCTTTTTATTATTATAATGGAAAACATTATAATTATGGTAGGCCAGAGAGAAACATCAGTAATGCGATATTTCTTTCTTTTCACAGCAACGCCACCGCAGCGATAGACAAGTTAATCGAAGAAAATCAAATGTGTTAAGAAACGGTCAGCTGGTAGAAGAATACTGGAGTAAGGTATGAGAGTGAGCCTTTTTGAACCTTCAACATTATGACTAGTACTATTTTGTATGTTAGAACCCGCAAACATGCTTCGGTACTATGACTGGACCTGAGGACAGAGTACATGGTCATGCTCTCATGGACTTCTTGAAGGTTGAGTGTAGCTTAATACTGTGTCAGAAATTATAGGAAGGTCAGGAGCGTTTTAAGTCTCACATATAAAAAAAAAGAAAAGCTCGAATTGATAGTCTTTATACTGATTAATGACTCACTGAGAGCTGTATTGTGACCTTCAGTAGTTCACTCATTTCTTTGTTGTCGACAGTATTAGATACATTTCCTTCAAACATGATCCCAATATTAGATGTTTTCACTTTTATGACTATTTCCTTCCTCTGTCCCTCCTGGACTCTGCATGATGCCTTTAATTTGAGCTTAGTTTTATCCATCTCTATGCAATGTCTGCAGTATTTGAAAGATGCTCCTGTAGAGGGAGCATCTTTCTCTCTCTCTCTTTCTGACTTATATCTTTCTCTGTTTTTCTCTATGGTGATGTGTGTAGAATATACTTCTGATGTCACTGAGTTCATCCTCTCAAGACTGCTTCATATCCGTGTTACTCATACTATCTTCCAGACGTATTTCATTAAGGGTTCTGGGTTACTTGATTGGAGTTAATGCTTTTGTTGTTAAAGCTGAATTTGATGAATACACCCTCAGGACTGCTTTTTTTTCGCTCACGATTTCAGTTGTTTCATATCCTCATAGCAGACAGATAAAAACACTCATCATAGTTTTGTATCATCATTTGCAGATGACAATAAAATAATCATGAAAGTCACTTCGGTAGAAGACACTGAACAAATGCAGGAAGATATAAGCTGTGTTTTCCAGTGGGCAGTGGAAAACATGACGTTCATTGGTGATAAGTTCCAACTTTTTAGGTATGGAAAGGATGAAGAACTCAAAAGAAAACTGTATACAAAACTCAAGATGATCATCAAATAGAATGAAAGGAACTCGTGAAAAACTTGGGAATAATTATGCGAGGTGATCTTCCTTTATAGAACACAATCGGACCAAAGTCGCAACAGCCAGGAGGATGATAGAGTGGATACTGAGAACTTTCAAATCACTGGTGCTCCCTCATTTGGAATATTGCTCAGTGATGATGGCCCCATTCAAGGCAGGAAAGAGATCAGAGTTGGAACAAATACAGAGAGCATTTACGACCCACATAGAGCCAATAAAGTATTTATTGGCTCTATGTGAAAAGAAGGGATGCATTGAGTACAGTAAGAGGAACACTGTATCAATGTCCGTGGCCCCAGACTATTCAATATTTTACCAAAAGTTATCAGAAACACTGCTGGGACAAGTATGGAAGTCTTCAAGAGGAAACTGGACAAGTATCTTCACCAAGTGCCAGATCAACCAGACTGTAATGGATATGTGGGTCAGCAGACCAGCAGCAGCGACAGCCTGTTTGACCAGGCAGGCACCAGACGAGCCTGGCCCATGACCGGGCTCTGGAAGTTAAAAAAAAAAAACTCAGAACTCATCAAAGGTATATCAAAGTGTGTATGTAGATTTTTAACATCAGTTAGATCACGGTCTGTCTTTGCTGTGTTCACCATCAGATGACTAGTGTATTGTAAACAGAAAATAAAATGTCTGGAGGCAGAGGTAGGGAAACTGAATCCAAGTTTAATAAAATACTAATCACCTCTAACCCCACTAAGGGTGCAGAGTGTAGGCAGTCTACACTGATGCAGAATGAAGAGTTTCCCTACTGTAGGGGTTTTGACTGAAGAGATGAAGAATGGCTATTATTAGAAGGCAAGAAGATGCATTACCACTGTAAAATAACTACACATAGCTTAAAAGTTTAATTAGCTAATTAAGTAAATAAAAACAAACTGGAAATGATGCGGAGTCATTATATAAACAAAAAAAGATGATTCAGTGAATTGTAGAAATAAACAGCTCGGGGAATGGGCAGGATTCTAACCATTGGCAAGCCAGTCTTAAAGCTAGCAGGCCAGTGCTCTAACCACTCTACCATATTAGTTCAGTGGTTAGCTCACTAGCCTGCTAGTTTTAAAAGTGGTTGACCGTGGGGTTGAATCCTGCACATTTGGGAGAAACTTGCTGCTGCTGCTGCTACCCAGACCACTAAAGAACTAATAACATATCTTCAAACACATATCCAAACACTGTTTTTAGATCTCAACAGACAAACAGAAACGGTCATCCAGCAAACAGATGTGGTGAAGCAGTGGCAGCTTAGTGACTATGTTATCATGAAGAGTTCTGTTCTCTTCAGAAGAACCAAGTGAAAGCTTTGTTAATATAGTGCATGATGCTTTAACTAGTGAACTAAACTGAACGTAGACTCCACACTTATCTGAACAGTAGTATATAGAATAGGGCAGTAGGCAAGCCAGTAGTTGGTACCTCATGGTCCATAATAAGACTTTCAACAACTATCAGAAATAAAGCCATGAAGGTTGCCATATGAATTTAAAATAACATATGAGGTGCTATCAAAAAGCTTCCAAGCTGTTGAGAAAAATAATATATGGGTTACCTATTTGAAATTGTCTCCCTGGAAGTATTCTTCCTGTGAGGCTGTCTACATCCCAGCGCCTCCGCCAGTTCTTGAAACATTTCCGAAATTTTCATTTTTTCCTAATGGCATCTAGCACAGCCTGTGATTCTTCTTGAGTCTCCTTCACGTCGTTAAAACGCCGACCTTTGAGTGCCACTTCTATTGGAGAAGATAGAGGTCACAGAGGCTAGATCTGGAAAGCAGGGACGATGGAGGACGACCATCATAATATTTTTGACCAGAAAACAATGGTCTTAATGGTCTTGTATCAGCAAGCGGGTCACAGATTTTACAGCCACTCACCTCATTTTCAAATTTTCAGTCAAAATGCTTTAACACTACCCATGAGAAATTCCCACAACACTTGCAGTGTCCTGGATACTCTGGATACTTTTTGAATGTTGGTGTCTGTTTTTGACATTAATGACGACCAGAGGATTCATCATCCTCAGCTGATATTCATCTTGCCTTGGAATCGAAGAAACTTACAAATTACACTGACCAGTTGCTTCGCCATCAAAACATTTTGTGAGGTTCACTAGGCGTTTTACAATGTTTGAAAACAATATTTCACACACATACATACACATGCTCTTCTTTCTGTTGATGATTCCATTCTGTTACAATAAAAAAAATCTCAACAACGCACTGACAACACAAAAAAACTGTGTATAGGAACTTTCTGATAACGGTTTGTACATGTGAACGTGTGCCAAAAAAAAAATCATGGCTGCATTTACTTAACTCACCGTAGCCAAAGTGTAAACTAAAATCTGCGTATAATCATCAATTACTGTTTATATTGACCAAAATAAAAGCGGAAGCACTCAGATCATATGAGAGGCACAGTGAACAAAGTGTGAAAGAGCTAAATAAATCTCTCACATTTCCTGGATTACTATCAGTGGACAACATAGTCAACTGTATCAGTTCTACCAGCATAAAACTGATCAGTCATGTACCTTGTAAGATGCAGATGTATATCTACCCTATATGACTATCTAGAATATCTAGCTGTCTGGTTATCTAGCCTGTGTAGCCCCTCAAGGACCAGAGAGGGGATTTTGATACAAGGAATTGAATTTGCCCTCCCCCTCCCCATTCTTGAATTGAACCTGATTGCTTCCCATTTTGCAAAGTACTTGATACCTCACTATGGGCGTGGCACTGCCTCCCCTCCCCTCTCCTCTCCTCTCCTCCCTCCCCTCTCCTCCCTCCTCCCTCTCCTCTCCTCTCCTCTCCTCTCCTCTCCTCCTCTCCCTCCCTCCCCTCCCCTCCCCTCCCCTCTCCCATCCCCTCTCCCCTCCCCTCCATGAATACAGTAATACCGTTCGTTGCATTGGAGTCATGTATATATTATGCAAATGCAGTGTTAGGGCATCATTCTGTTTTATAGAAATACAATTCTCTTATCCTGTTCAATACTCAGTTTTGTGTATAATTGTTTTATATATATATATATATATATATATATATATATATATATATATATATATATATATATATATATATATATATATATATATATATATGATGTCGTGCCAAATAGGTAAAACTGGTCAATTAGCAAGAACTCATTTAAAATTAAGTCCTTTCTACAATTTTCTCTTATACGTTTAAATGTATATTTTTTTTCATTTATGTTAATGTAAAAATTAATAATTTTGTACCAAAAGAACCTTAGAAAACTTGCCCAACCTTATTATAACAAGCACAATTTAATAAGGAATCGTTCAGGACCCTGTACACCGTGTACGTTTGTAGGTTTGTACCCAAGGGTAACAGGAATAATGAAAAAGCCAGGATGAGCCCATGGTTCACCCAAAGGTGCAGGGAGGCAAAAACCAAGTGTGCTAGGGAATGGAAGAAATATAGAAGGCAAAGGACCCAGGAGAATAAGGACAGCAGTCGTAGAGCCAGAAGCGAATATATACAGGTAAGAAGGGAGGCCCAACGACAATATGAAAACGACATAGCAGCGAAAGCCAAATCTGACCCAAAACTGTTATACAGCCACATCAGGAGGAAAACAACAGTCAAGGACCATGTAATCAGGCTAAGGAAGGAAGGAGGAGAGACAACAAGAAATGACCGTGAAGTATGTGAGGAACTCAACAAGAGATTCAAAGAAGTGTTCACAGAGGAGTCAGAAGGGGCTCCAGAAAGACGGAGAGGTGGGGCACACCACCAAGTGCTGGACACAGTACATACAATCGAGGAAGAAGTGAAGAGGCTTCTGAGTGAGCTAGATACCTCAAAGGCAATGGGGCCGGATAACATCTCTCCATGGGTCCTGAGAGAGGGAGCAGAGGCGCTATGTGTACCCCTAACAATATTCAATACATCTATCGAAACAGGGAGATTGCCTGAGGCATGGAAGACAGCAAATGTAGTCCCAATCTTT